GGTGAAGAAAAGCCAACAAAAGTCATTCGTTCTCGAAGTGTTTCAAAAAAGATGGTCGCGACATTTGTGTCAAAAGCGGGTCATATTGCAACAATTCCTCTTAACGAGCAAAGCACTGTTACTGTGGATTGGTATACCACCATTTGTTTGCCAAAAGTCATCGCCGAGCTTCGAAAAATCAACCCCAAAAGAAGAATCATCCTCCACGAAAACAATGCAAGCTCGCACTCAGCTCAAAAAACAAGGCAGTATTCAACGGAAGAAAACGTGGAATTATTGGACCATCCTCCATATAACGTAGTCCCGATCTAAGTCCTAACGATTTCTTTACTTTCCCGAAAATTAAAAACAGACTGCGTGGTCAAAGGTTCCAGTCACCAGAAGAAGCAGTTGACGCACTCAAAAATGCCGTGTTGGATCTGCCAGCAAATGAGTGGAATAAGTGCTTCGAAAATTGGTTCGAGCGCATGCAGATGTGTATTAATCTTCGTGGAGAATACTTCGATAAACAATAAAGTCATTTAAAACCACCTACCGTGTTGTTTTATTTCCATATGCAAAACTTAAAAGACATCGTATTACAGTAGTAGGTGGTCGAACAATCAATCATAATTAGTGACCTCAAAATAAAATTATAATGATAGAATAATTCACTACATAGTAAGAAGAGTGAGGTGGATTTTACTACAGTTTCATAACTCTCCTCTCATAGATAGATGCCAATAGAATGACTGTCACATTTAATATATCAAGCATCCCACGCATTTTACTCTCAGTTGAATTTTTCTGTTAATAACTTTCATATATAATTTTATTACAGTGTTACTTTGAAGTCATTAATTATGATTGATTGTTCGATATAAACTCTGTAATTAAAAATTTCCTACTTTTTAGTTCGGTTTGCTATAAAAGCGTGTTTTTTAGTTTTTTAAACTATTATTTATTTTTCATTTGTTAGTTCGATTTATCAATTAGCTTTTTGTGGACATGTGGTATTGAAATGTCTTACGAATCATTTCGTAGTCTAATCATTACATTTAGAGCTTCAGTGCTGCATAGGGTTTTTCCTATTAACTTAGAGCAATCAAGTTTTTCAATCCGAATACCATCTAAAGATCTTACACGACTAAGTGCTACGTAAGCTTGTCCAGCAACAACAACCTTGCATCTTGTGGACGGTCGAAGCCCAACTCAGGGTTAATGGCAACATTCGCATTGAACAAGGTGAGAATGCACTACCTTGAAAAGGTATCTGTCTCCATTGTTCTGTGTCGAGAGCCCGAACCAACAAAGGGTAACGCCGAAACTTCTACGCTACTGATTGAGGATAAGACACGAGTATTATTCCATTTCCACGTCATATCGAATTTCCAATATCAACTTGCACGGTGTTTTTAGAATAGGGGAGGATGTTTTAGGATTTTACCTCAAATATTCAAAGCTAAATATCTTCAAAACGAGTGACCTGACAAACATTTCTCACAACGCAAAATTTATGAAAAATTGAAATAAAATGCACTTCAGGTCTCCGAAAAGGCTAGTGCCGTAGAAAATATTTGCTACTAGAGACCAAGGTACTCCAGTTCCTACGTCCCTGGTATAGTTTGGGCCGGAAAACTCTGTGCGTTTATTGCTTATGGTGTGCTCATTATAGATCTAAGACTTTAATTCAGTATCTTTACCAGATCCGTAAATATATTTTTTTCAATTTCCTAAATAAAACTTCGTCGCCCTGTATCTCGGTAGGGGAGCGTCTTTGGACTTATGTTTAAAGGAACTTTTTCTGTTATTTTTTTATGTACTTTCATCATAGAAATATTGGCACGTCTTTCTGAAACACCCTGAATAAAGTGTACAAACAGCTTTTGATTCAAAATCGAAAATTACAATACTTTATTTACTGGTAGTATATAGAAAGTAGATGTTTGTATTTTTTGCTTCATGTGCTGCTGTGTGAAGACGATATTTATGTAAGGGTACGATACATAAGCTTTCATTGCATTACAGCGACACACATAATAATGTTTTTTTTAAACAGGGAAAACTTACATAGCCACTCTAGGGTAGCTAAGCTCGACAGCTCCATCGTCGGTCCTTCCTAGGCAAATTCTGAAATCCTCCGAAATGCGGCATACTCATAATGATGTATTTGTAATTTAATTTTATCCTGCTGACTATAAATGCTGTTGTGAAATTTTATGAGTTTTGAAGCTTTTCGACTAGATAACATCTTCTACCAAATATTTCATAACCCTTGGAGTTTCTGAAAAAATCATGTGATGAGAATAATTCTTTGCCACTGTCATGCGTGATTGGACATTGCCAGAAAGATATTCTCTTTGAGAATATCTATTCCAGTGGCGAAGCGTCCATGTAACCATTGTTACCATTGCTAACAGTTGAAAATATTAAAAATAAATATTTTATGACTAAGTACTGTGAAATAATTTCATTTATTTGTTTACCAACAGCGATATGTAACAGTAATTCAGTAAATATCAAATTAGCCCCACGAAAATAATGCGCCCTACAGTGTCTAGGTTTTGCGAACACGATGAAGCTGACTAGGTTGGCGGTTGTTACCATTTTCATTTATGGATACATTTGGTAGTCCATCGGGGACCTTCGGTGCCGGCTCGTGTCTGATCGCGGTCGCCCGAGTTGGTAGGGCGCTGCGACTATTATGTGGGCTTGCTACCATTTTTTGATTTGGTTACTCACTTCTCACTCGTACGTAGCCGTTTTGGTTACCGGCTGTAGTGTGCGTGCAATTAAATATGGATGAGTGTCGCTGCGTAATCGATCAACTTGAAAAGTCATTCTCCTTGTATAATTTTTTAAGAAAAAAAGGAGATCAAGATGGAAGACCAACACCTATTTTAGATAATTTTAAAAAGGGATAAAAAAACGTAGTTTGATATTTTAAATTAAGTTGGTATATGGAAACTCTTGGTTATGTGGTTGCAAAAAAACAGATTGTATTGTTGACGATGTCATCTGTATTTTACAGAAAAAAATGGGTGGATCAGCAGCGGAGTCAACAATTTAAATATTTTTGGGGCTCTAAAGAGGAGACATGAACTTTCTCTGTTACATGTGAGATGTGTAGCCAATTTTATTCAGTTTGGCAAAACAAAAATCGAAAGTTGTCTTAACCAAGCTTTTAGGCAGCACACTTCTAGATACCGTATCTTTTTTGGCAAAACAGGAATTACCGTTCATTTTGAAGGGGATGACTCTGACAGTCGAGGAAATTACAGGGAATTGTTAATATTCGTTGCCAAAAAGATCAAAAATTTTCCGAATATCTAGAAACGTCGACTGTTTTTTTCGGACGGCTTGGATTACCATAAGACGATGAGGTATATCAAGTGCCCCAGACGCTCAGTCCATGAATGTTTACCTTAATTTAAAAATAGTTTAAATAAAATACCTAAGATAAACAAAAGCTTATATTTGGGAGGTTCAAAATAAACTTTTTTTAATAAGATTTTTCACATCTCGTTTTGGTAACAGCTTAGGAAAACTAACGCGCCTCCACTGATCTATTTCTTGTACAAAATAGAAACATATTAGCGGACAACTTGTGGGTTCCTAATTGAGACGGCATAACGATCCAAATTGGCCTTATGCATAAAATAAATTATGCCGTAGGCATTTCATTTTGTATTGATAGGGTTTAATATCTCATCACATTCCTTAGTTATAGTCTATATTATAGCCTTTAGAAGGCGTTCCTAGATGTCCTCCAAGTTTCTTTCACACAAATGGTCATCAAACAAAGCGTCATGTTTCATACACTTTTTTATCACAGACGCGATGACAAAATTTGAAATACTCGACATGATATGCCATCAGCACATCTGCAATATCGAGATGGCTGATGGCCTGAACATGGAGCTTCTACGCCCAGTAAGTCATTCACATACGGTTTTCGTCAAAACTTAAATTTCGACGTTCGAAATTTTACTTTTTAATTTTTTTTATCTTCAAATTACAATGCAGAGATACAATACTTGAACTGTATAATGAAATAACATGCATATCGTTAAAAGCTTATCTCAAGTCTGTCGGGCCGTTCACTCGCACTGAATAATCTATGCAGGTTCAGCACATTCCTATGGTGGCGTGATGCTGGGCCTTATTCTATTATAATGTAAAGGATTTGTAGCAACATAACTCAAGCTCGTAATACAATTGGTCCACTGTCGCGTTTTTGTGCAAAGCCTATAAAGTTTGATTTACCTTTTTTAATGCACTGTGGTTCAATTTATATAGCATTTTTCAATGAAGAGTAAAATTCCTGTACATGAGGACTAAGGCTGTTTGCTATAACAAGAAACTTTTTACGAGTATGGTGGTAAAGCTCTATATATAAATATATATATATATATATATATATAAAATTCATACTATCCCTCTTTTTATATTCCTTTTATTAGCACCAGTACATGGGGGTCTTAGTAAGGCTTTATAACTCATACAACCCCTCGTTTGCTGTGGAAGGATGTTTTTCTAAGTACATAGGAGGAAGAGCCTGGATTATATTCAATTATGGAAGCCAATTTGGTTTCTGCTCGAAAACGTTTAAACGTGTCAGAGGTCACTGACCGCTTAAAGGGGTTCTGGGATAACATCACATCTGAGAAGCATGAACAGACACTTGATTGCGAAAGTTTGTACACAATAACAATAAATGTCAACATCTGGCCTTGAAAGAAAAAACATCTTAAGAGGGTTCATTGAATGACGGTCAATGGCTATGATTTATACTTTGTCACGTGCTAAAATCACGAAAGCTTTTTTACTATTTTTGATCACCTACTAGTAATGATATTCCTAGGGCAAACCCTTTCCAATGACTTTATTTTGATAAATTTCATAGTTTATTGATTGTATAATTTCACACGTAGTAAATCTTCCTTTCTCAGTGATTCAGTGTTGTGTTGGAAAAAAACTCTGTGTTTTTTTCTCCGTTACTTGGTTTCCTGTCGAAAATATCTTCTTCAAGGCCACCCGTTGAACCTTCCTTTCATAAAGTTAGTTGTTTCGTATCAGTCACTTTCCTTCTGGCAAGTGCACATGCATCTCGCGTCACATATCAATTCTTTTTCCATGGTGCTGCAACTTTCATTATTGAGGTTTGTTTTTTTTTTCGTGAAATTGATTCCCTTACTTGTTTCAACATTCTGTCGAATAAACAAACCTTGGTTTTTGTTACGCAAACCGAACACCTCTTAGTTGCCTAAACCTAATAAATATCTACTATTTATTTGAAATCTCTCTTCAAATTCAGAAAGAGTACGGGGAAAATAATAAAAGGAAATAAAGCCGTTCCAGAACGGCTGACGCTATTGATACCTGAGAATAAGAAGATGACAGAAGCCAGAGAGCAAAAAAGAAAAGGGTAAGTCTGCGATTTTTTTACGCTAAACAATTAAGAACTATGCACCTGTTTCAGATATATCCTATATTCCTGCTTGGGAATAAAAGCTTAATTGAAGATTAACCATTCACACTAGGATTTTACGGCTATAAATCTTTTTTCCGATTTAGACATATAAGATTTTTAGAAACCGCTTTTATTATTAACAATTTTAACTGTAATTAAGATGGATGATGCTTAACGAATAAAGTAAATACCACACGCTTCTAAAACACGTTTTTTATTATATTTTCTATAAGTCAATAACAAAGTGGAGGTCGAATTTGAGCACTTTCCTTCTCTCTTTGCCTGAACCTCTGAGCATCAAAATTCTAGCGACCCCCTATTTTGAAACTTCCTCATGCCACGTTTTACTCCTTGGAGGGAACCCATGGTCGCCAGTAACACTCGCGTCTTTGCACGATGGTATTTTGACAGAATTAGTGTTCAGCAAAATACACTGAATTAACATCCAGAAGATAACAAATCCTTTTTCCGGCCACATCGTGCTTCCTTTCAGTTCTTTAGCACGTAGAACAATGACTGTTTGTAAAACAAACGATTTGAATATTAAAAGTGATAAGAGATACCTGGAATTCCATTGTAAAAGACATAATCGGCAAATAACAAAAGATAACATAAAAATGAAGCTCATCGCGAAAAATTCAACCCACGTTCACAAAAAAGTGCAAGTAAATGAGTAATAGCTTATGGGCTAGAAGTATCACGTCAGGTAGGTATAGCTGGCATCCATGGCAACGTTAGCTGATGCGTCGTGAGCATGAGATGTTCTGGCCGTAGCCTCAAACTGCTGGGTCTTGTTGGTGGCTTCTAGTTGTATTTCCATCCTTTGTTTTCCTTCAGGATGCACCCGTATCCAGATGTGATGGTATATGTTTTAACTGCTGTGTTTTCGATGCACATCCATTTGGGCCTGATTGAGGCAATAAGCAGAAACGTACGTCACTTGGGACTCGACTTGCAGATCTAAGAATATCGTGTACTTCCGTAAAAGTATTCATAAATATACAAACAAATTTCTCATTGTGTTTCTTCTTTCGGTTTCAACATTGCAAAATGTCGTATTTTTAAGGAAAAGTTAAGACATTTTAAATCTAAATCTCAATCTGCTAAATACTTCAAACAAATGCTGCTTTCAACATGCCTTCAGAAAAACACTAGACGTCAGATTACATTAATATTTTTGATTTCATTGTGGTTTTTAGGAGCATCATTAGACATTGCCTAGGCGTGTAGGTAGTATGTTGCAAATTATACTTTTTCCCAAACTGTTTCCAATGGTAAAATTGACCATACGAAGTATCATAAAAGTCATATCGCTCAGGTCTATGCGTTGAACTGAAATGGTGAGAGCCTTCTAACTAGTGGCGCCAATTGTATTGCTTCAATATTGAATTCTGTAGTAGGACAGACATGGCAGCAGCAGCGGTTGGTATGTAATCCGCATTTCCTTTGAGCAAAAAGAGTCACATCAGAGACAAATGAATTTTTCGGATGGCTAAAATCATTCCATCAAATGCGCTGAATAGAGCTACTGCTAACCAGGATTTCGAGTGTCCATTCAAATGCCCAAAGCTATAAAGGTTTTCCTCTTTGTTTGAGATGACCGAGTACATGAGGTCCACACAACTGTACCTGTACCACTTGCATTAAATTTTTTAAGGATATGTTTTTGATGTTAGATAAAATGTCAGATGGGGTTAATTTTAACGTGGAAAGCATTCAAGTGTCACCAGGTATCTATACAATAGAGTAGTCTATACTCTGTACTAGAGGAAGGATAATCAGCCGCAATCGCAGCACTTAGGTCCAATGAGACCTCATGTACATCATCCCTAATTTTGATGAGGAAATCACAAAGTTTATGAATTTGCTGTTAACATTGTCACGACTGACCACCCTGTAAGCCTGTACACGCGCCAAGTTGCTAGCTTACGAACATATATGCTCAACCACATCCGCTTATGAGTATGCATAATCAGCAATGATGTATCCTTATCAGCCTAAGTGGGAATAAGGTGATTATAAAAAACAGTTGGGCAGACCTGTGAGGTCATTCCCGTTCAGCGGACAGTCCGCCTGGGAGATCTCTGTTAGCATTCCACCCTGTGCAACTAGAGTATATACTTTATACCTTTATGTTCCATTAGAGATAAACTATGAACACTTTTGTGTTTTATGATCATCAAAATTCTCGTTTCCGTTATTATCTTGGCATTAGAAAATACGACCACATCAGCCATGTTTATAAGGAAAACTACTATCTTTACTCCCTAAGAAGAAACCAGAGTACCTTCTCAATAAGCTACAAAAATTTGAAGATGTTAATAACTTAGCAACCAAGAAATAGTCAATCTCTAGTTATACCCCACCACTCTACATCGTTATACAAGAAGAGTTTTTATACATTGCGGCCAAACACTACAACAATCTACCAACTGAGTACCCCAATTACAGTCTAATAAATTTCAAGAAAAAATTAAAAGCAATGTTTCTATCTGATGATAACGAGATCAATTTCAGCAAAAATAAACCTGACTGATTTTTCGAGTCATATCATATGGAAATCATGATTTTATATCAAATGACTTAAAATTTAAACCTATATTATTTACTTGTACAGATTTAAATAATATAAGGCAATTATCACAAACCACATGTATTCATTACTTTACGACACTATTCTTATTCATGTTTGTGATTTTATTTTATGGCTGAGTTAAAAAATACCTTAAGGTAACACTTCGCCATTTCGATTCTTTAATTTCAAACTTTTAGTACCTCACTCTACCCAAAATATGTATTTGTAAATGAATCGAATAAAGGAATTATTATTATTATTATTATTATTATTATTATTATTATTATTATTATTATTATTATTATTATTATTATTATTATTATTATTATTATTATTATTATTATTATTATTATTATTATTATTATTATTATTATTATTATTATTATTATTATTATTATTATTATTATTATTATTATTATTATTATTATTATTATTATCAACCCTTGGCAACGCTAAGCGAGGGTGCTCTGTCAGGAGCAGAAATAACCCCCAAGTCGCAACCGTGACAATATATATTTCCTGTAAAGGATGGGTGATTTAGTCCAGCTGTATTGACAGTAAATAAGCCGGAGCTGTTATCTTACGATGTAAAGGTAGCATTGCGTCAGTTTCTCACTCGAATAGCTTAGGAACTGTTTAGCGAATAAGCAGCCGGATATACGAGTATCATCGCAGATCTTTTCACCGTATCCACAAATTCCCGGGTCTAGTTGGTAGTTTCTAGTTGTATTTCCCTTTCCAGCCGTGTTTTCCTTCGGGTTAGGAGCTGTTTAGCGAATGAGCAGCCGGATGCATCATCGCACATATTTGTTGAATCCTTTTGGATGTATATTGGTGTTATAGATCGACTATGCAGAATACACGTAGAATCCCTGACTGTTTTTTTTTGGCAGACGTTTACCGGTGGCTTTGCCCTTGAACTGAGGTCCTTCAACCAGGCAACAATTATATGGTTGTTGGCACTCTCAAGCTTGCAACACCTCAGAATCAGTACTGGCTGACTTCTGTCCATGCGGATGCCAATATTTTTTTGCCGGTGGGAAATCCCTTACGTCGCTGAGATGAGCGGTCGCTCAAGAGCACACATCTGTCATGTTTCACTTATGTTTATTACGAAACAATTGCAAAAATATATTCATGGACATCCTGCTTGTATGTATGTAAGGCTCAAAGACGGCTCGTAGATAAGAACTGACAGAGATTGATGCCTCTATTTTCCATGCAGGTCTAGCAAATGAGCAAAGTTTGGCAGAACTCTGCGTGAGGTAGTTGAACGAATCGGAAACTGAATATTGATCCTTCCGCTACAGCTGCACGGTATGTACGAGGAGAGATGCCTTCATGTGGGGAACAAGAAACACGAATGCTTGGAAATTGAATCACGGAGCTTACAATTGTCATTTTGGGGTCTGTTTGTGCAAAGCTGTGAAAGCAATTTTGTACCACAGCTATCCGTGTGTTTCATATGATTGGATAATTTGATGTTGTTACGTGTATACAATGTATTAAGTTAAGGATGGGATACAATGAGATATAATAAACAGTACCGGATAATTCATATCCATGTTGTATGGCTGTTAAAATAGGACAACGGTTGTTGAAGAAAATTTGTTTACCGACGATTCTACTACCTCGGTAGCGATATTCAAAATTTGCAGGTGGAAGGCAAAGGTTGAATGACATCAACCTTCATTTATTCAGATGAATGATAGTATTCAGATGAAGTATAAAAGTCAATGTCAAGATAACCTTGTTCTCCACTACATTTTTAAAAAGCTGAAGTGATTAACCTGAACTAATTCTCTTCAACAAACATTTGAGCTTCCTTTTAGCGACCTGAACAACATGAAAATGACTTAGCGAGGCAACCCCAGTTGCTCTGGCTGCAACAACATCGAATAAATACAAAAGTATTCGATACTAGAATAAAGAAATAAATGAAGTTTAGATATGTTTTGTAGTAATATTGGGTTAGCAAAACAGTTTAATTATATACTAACCATATGTGGAATGTAACTAGATCGTGCAACCTTCTCTCCGTTTGATCATGTCCATAATAATTCCAATCCATTCAAATACCGTAATGCTATTTTATCCTCATGTCAGATACACTGATTTAGCCAGTGCTACTGTGAATTATGTGGTTATGTTCATCGTACAACCCCGCATATTGCTGCCGTATTTTTTCTCTATAGAGGAAAAATAACTACATGTACTTTTCCGCTTACAGTAGATCTAATCCTAAGTGAAATAGCGAAAAGACCTGACCGTAGAAAAGGGTAAAGCCCTATTTAGATAAAAGTGGTACAGCAGAACATATGAGCTGCCTGAACCGCTCATAATGGTTTTACATAAAGAAAAGTTACCTGCGTGGTCACAGATATAACAGTGACTGCCATTCCCTTTGATCTTGTTACCACCTGTTCGACAACTATCTCACCAATTACCATGGGCGCCCGCATTTTAAAATGCCACGTTCTTCATTGGGTGGCCTCCTTTATCAAAAGTATTGTTTGAATGTGTCACAACTAACACTGACGCAAGTCGCAGCAAACAGAGCTGATTATTTACAAATTGGAAAACAATAATGAATTTTTCGATATGATGCTGGCTTAGGTATGGGATCTTGAC